CTTCTAAAGAGACTGTAAACAGGGTCCATTCTTTAGAGACCATGTCAAGGTCTCCTAGGACCTCACAGTGTCTCCAGGGACCACTTGCTGCTGCCTGCTCTGCGGGGACATTAATAATAATCACACCTTAGGAGAACTTAACAACCACCACCTTGTGAGTGTGCACAATTATCTTTACTCAGCAGAACCTCAGGTCAGGGAAGCGAAAAGGCCTGGGAAAGGCAGAGCCAGAGCTCAAGCCAAGGTGTTGCAGTGCAGGAGGAAGCTGCGGACCACAAAGGCTGAAGAAGGTGAAGGGTGAGATCTGCGTTTTCATCAGGCCTTAAGGGATGTGCTAAGAGGCAATAAATAAATAAATAAAAATTTTTAATGGAAAAACAAGAACAGGATGTTTTATAATCATGTTTTATAACTAGTTTTACAAAAGTGAATTGGGCTCCCCAAGGCAGAATTGCTGGATTTAGCAAATAAAAACACACAGCAAAACAAATTTGAGACACTTAAGACTTTCAAAAAAAAAAGTTATCTGAGATCCTAATTTTACTCAACATCCAATATGCTAGCTTACAACCCTGGAGCAAAGGCCTTTTTGGAACAAAAACCACCAATAAATTACAGTGCCTCAATTCCCCAGCTGAATGGAGACACCCTATGCACCTCATGTCTTTCAGAAGCTAAGTAAAGGGAAGTGCAGAAGGCTCAGCTGCTCTTGACAGGGCATCTTCCTTTTTTTTTTTTTTTTTTTTCTAGTAGCAGACTCAGCCCTTGACCCTAAAGACCTGGCTTTCAATAACCAGGCCATTTAATCTCACTGCCCATTTGATTTCCAGTGCCGTCTCCATTTTGTATGGGAATGGTGAGGATTAAACTTCACTGAGGTGAAGGGAGGAAATGACACTCTCGCCTCCAGTATTTCCTGCTCCAGGAGAATGGCAGAAACATTAGCCACAGGAATCTGGATCCCCCTCCCATAAAGAAACAGATCAAAAATGCAATCATTTTAAACAGTTTATGGCGCGGGTTCGTGACAGCTGTCCGTCCGTCTACCTCATGAAGGAAGGAGAAAAAGGAAATCCAGAAATGTGTCCGGAACACAACATGAACTACGGAAAATAGAGTGAGATGCCAAGAGGCACACCTCCCGGGGACGGTGTGCAGCCATGGAGGGGTCCACCCTTCACAAAAGCCTGTGAGTGGGCACCTAAAACCCATCACTCTGGATGACAGAGACTAGCGTGATCACAGAGACTACTGAACCACAAACACACAGAGAGAATACAATATAAAAAGAGGCTGAACTTTATTCACACATAGCAAACCAACCTCCCATCTCCGCCTCAATGTTTGCCTTTGTGTAACAAAAACATGTTGGGATTGGCTTAGGCGCTAGTCACTGAAATATCTTCCACACGCAACTTCAAGTCTACAAACTTCATGAAACACGATCTACTGAGCACAAACTGCCATGCACAGAAACTGCTTGGCGAGGAGTTATCAACAGCTTTCTATGTCATCTCCTAAACTAGGCCAAACACTGAATCACCGTGGAATTCCTCACGTGCAACTACACCCAGTTAATCTTCAAGAAAGCAGCAAACTGTGTAAATCTACTTAAACCGGGGTGATAAGCACCTCACTCGCCAAAAGCCAGCGAGGTTGACTGAGAAACTCCTCTTAGATGGCAAGCCGGGCTCATTGGTGAGAGAGACAGACAGACACGCTGAAATTCTTAGCGCTCGCTCACCTACTTCCAGAACCCTCTGACAAACCACTAGGGCAACACACTCAGCCAAAAAGGCTTTGCTACATGTCGTGATCTGCAAAACTAATACTGCATGACGTCACTGAGTCAACTATCCCAAGAAAGAGCTGCATGAAGGAAGTCAGGAAACATGACCAAAAAAAAAAAAGAAAAAGAAACTCAAGATACATAACCCGAAATAAAACTGAATAAAACTGGAAATACCCACTTTCCATTTGTAAAGACTTTTCAAGTATGAAGCACTTTCTTTTCCTTTTCAGGTCACAGCGAGATATATTTTCACAATTGCAAAAGTCCTGATCAATGGTTTCATTTCCGTTGAGGGATGCTGGCTGCACATTGCCAGACTGTATCTACTTAAGGAATTTCATGTCTATAATTCACAACCTCCAGTGATAGTATGAGCCCACGTCTTCAGAAGCTTAAAACTACTAACTTTTATCTAGGCACTGACTAACAGGTAACCCTGCGAGCACTCACACGCCTAGGCTGCTGGCCTGAGCCGGGCAGGTGGATGTACCCACGGGCCTGTGATGCAGGAAAATCCTGTTTATCCCAGGTGCCCTGGCTCCAGCACCTGGGGAGAGAAGGATGAGCAAGGCCCACCTCTGCTTCCACTGAAATTGGGTGACTCCTACATATGTAAAATGCAGAATGGACTAACCATGGTTCAGCAGGGCAAACCTCAGACATGGATGCTCACACCAAACACCGTGAACTCATCAAGTGCTGTCACACCCTTCCCTTCTGTGTCACAGCCCACACCCACACACAGACGAGGGTGGGGAGGGGACGAGGGAGCCATGGGGACTGACACCAAGAAACTTTGCATGGGTGTTCCCGGGGATGAGCCAAACATGTCAGGAGGCCTGTAGTGTGAGGTCTTAAAGCCAACTGGCTGGAATTGAAGTCCCGGCTCCGCACACTGGGTGGTGCGGACTCTGGGCAAGTTATTTAATCCCCGCCTCAATGTTCACTGTAAAGTGGAGACTAACATGACCTGCCTCACAGGGCTGCTATCAGTGTGGTGAAATCTGTTAATCCACAGAAAGCATTCAAAATACCAGGCAGCAGATAGTGAGCGTCTCCTAGTCTACCTGTAGAAGAGTGGTTCTGACTTGAACACGTTCCAAAGGTGATTTAAGTACCCCTTACCCTCCTGTTTTACTCCAAGGAAGTTATCTGAAATCAGCTCACAGCTGATTATGTATTTCTAGATTAAAATCAACCCGAATTATAAGCCTTAAAATTGCCAATTCTGTCACCGAACTGAAGAAAGCATTATGAACTGAAAGGTGCGAGCTTAACATCACAGAATATTAGTGTATACACACACACACACACACACATGATTAATTAAATTTCCCATTCAGGCTAAGCCAAGATGAGATCATGAAGTCACTCAGGGTAACCCAGGTCCCTGCTGGAAGTGTGCTTTGCCAGTGAATGGCAAAATACTAACAAAAGAGACCTTTGACTCAAATACCACCGGTACCCGGGGTCTTGTGTCTGTATAATGCCTGCACATTCATTTCTTTCTTTGCCTATAGAAAAAAAAAAAAGAGAAAATCTGTTTGTTTTTTCTGATTCAGCCAAAGCCCTTTCGTCTTTGAATCTAAGGAGAGTCCTGAAAAGACTGCATCTTATCAGCCAGCTCCAGCCAGCAGGCTGTCCCCCCCCCCCCCTCTACACACAAGCCTCCAGCCTCTCTCAGCAAAAGGCCTCCCCCTCAGAGCCTTTTCCCATTTCAGAGCTAACACCCTGCTGGGTTTTGACAACAAATAAATGAACAGACAAGGCCCTAACATAATTAGCCATCTTTTCAGGTAGAGAGAGGTGGTGGGGGAGGAGGGGCTGCGAGGAGACTTCCTGTAAATTGGCTTGGCTTCTGAAGCTGACGCTAAGACAGAGCATCTGAGGGCACTTATTTTAAATAAAGCCACCTGAAGTGAGTTTTGGGAGATGCCTGTTTGTGAACCCTGCCAATCTGGGCACTGATGTCAGCCAAGGCATCAGTGCAGATTTTAATTCTGTCATCCAGGTGAAAGTGACTGTGGGGGCATGAAAATCGGGGACATTTACCTCTTTTAAAGAGAAATTAAATAACAAAGAGTCAAAGAGAAGATAGAAAATTATACTTTTTGACACCGTGGAAACATTTCAGATGGACTGTTGGTGGGACAGTTTTTTTGTTTTGTTTTGTTTTAAAAAAAAAAAAAGCAATTTAGACAGTGGGAGAAATAGTCCTGTGAACAGCCACAAGACAGTCACCAGGCATCACTGCCATGCATCTGGATCTTAATGGAACCACAGTTTTCAGGGAGGGATACAGTTTGCTCGTACATTACTGGGATAACTTAATTGATCTGTCTCTGAGGCTGAGGATGTAGACTAGAGATTTATTATGGAGGGAAAAGATCCACAATACTGTTAAGGTTTTTTTTTTTTTTTTTTTACCCCAACAAGCATTTTGCCACTGACCTCTAAATGAGTTTAACCTTTTCTAAACAGACCTACACATTTTTAACATAATTTAGAGCTAGGTTTTGTTTTCGCTGCTGCTGAGGCTGTCGGATTTATCACAACATGGCTTCAGTAACCTCCTTTCAAAAACAAAGATGAAAAACAAAAGACCGAAACTAAAACCTGCCGCTTGCACTCCTTTTCCAGGCAGGGGATTCGGATCTAACCTTTTAAGAGCCTTTGGCGTCCAATCTGTTAGAAAAATGTATGAAACAAAATTAGAATAGGAAAAGACGTGTGTATGACTCAGACGTATCCCAGTATCTCTGTCACAGGATTTCCCTGTGTTTCTAAAAACCCTGAGAAAGTGTCAGAAGTTCCTGGTTTTTTTTTTTTTTTCTTCTTCTTCTCTTTCTTTTTAAAAAAATAAGAAGGGGGCGCGCGCGAATAAACACACACACACACACACACACACACACCACATACACACGTCTTCCGGGTTCCCTATGAATCAGACAGGTTTCTTGGAGGTCCCCAGCGCAATGCTCAACGGTGTCCCCCGACTTATGCCGGGCTCCTCTGCACACAAAGGTCTCCAGGAAAATCCCAAACTTGTTGCAGGCCGGCGGAGCTCCTGGCCGCGCGCCCGTCCGTCCCACCTCTCGGCCCGTCCTGGTCCCGGTCCCCTGGGCATCTCCCCGCCCGCCGCCTTCTTCCGAGACACGGTCACCGCCCCGCGCGATCGCCGCAGGCCCGGGGAGCGCGGCAGCCTCACCTGCTTGCGGTAGGGCGTCCTGCAGCCGCCGGCGGCGCCGGGGTGGCCGCTGCCGCTGGGGAAGATCATCGCGGGCGCGGGGCGCTGGGGAAAGGCGGGCCGCGGCGCTCCGGGGAACTCCCTCTTGGTTGTCCGGGCCGGCGGAGGCGGCGGCGGCGGCCGGGGACTGGCTCGCGGCTCCCGCCCTAAAAGTGCGGCGCAGCGGCGCGCGCGGCCGGCGACTCTCGAGCAGCTCCGGGGGCCGCCGCCCTGCGTGCCATGGACCGGAGTTCGCGCGCGGTGCCGGCGGCAGCGGACGAGCAGCGCCGCCGCGTCCCCACCTCCCGCCGCCTCAACCACCGCCCCGAGAGCGCGCCGACCGGGGGCGGGGAAGCGGCCGCGCACCGCCTAGTGCCGCGCCCAGCCCTCCCGCGCCTCCCGCCCGCCCGCCGGCTTGCCTGCTCGCCGGCCGCGCCCGCTCCCCCGGCCTCGGCCCCCGCGCACGGCCTCCCCGGCTGGGGCGGTAACCCGGACTGCGCGGCGCCCCCATCCCGCGCAATGGTTGGGTCTGGCGCCCCGCCGGCCGCACATTCCTGGGAGCAGCCACCCCAGGCCCTTCCTTTGGCGACGCGTCGCCGGGGCTTCGCGCCCCACTTGGTGGCCCCTTTTAAGGGCATCGTTCCGGGAACCGCTGGAACACCTGGATAGGAAGCCAACTGGCCGCCTTTTCTTTCATCTTCCGCTTGAGCCCCTATTCCCGAAAAGGCGCGGATAATTACTCCCACTTCCCGGTACAAAATCAGCCTTCCAGCACACCTCTTCGTCCCCCAATTCGCATACTACACTTTTGTAGAGCAAACGTGTTTTTCTCTCCGGTCCCTCACCCAGAGACGCCCAGCAAAGTTTTCAATTTCATTCTTGTGCCACAGGGGAAGAGTTTTCCTTCAAAACGACAGTATCAAAAAGGCAGTGAAAAATCATATAAGCCATCTGAGTGGGAGATGTGTCCTTCCTGAAAACGACATTAATTGAAACAGGAATGCGCCCTCAACTTAGTTATTAAATACGACAGGGCAAGAAAGGGACAAAGACAGGAGTAATTTCCTTTGTTCCCAGGTTGAAAAAAAAAATAAAAACTGCTTCTCCCGCGGCTCTTTTCACAGTCACCCCTCAGGATGTATCAGGCTTTGAACCTGTGTGATGTAGAAACCTCAAAAGCGAGTGGTCATGACATGCATGCCATTTCTGGGTAGGGTACTATGACTGATTGCAGTCTTTAAATTGGCGGACTCCCTAGCAAGTATTCCAGTATTCCGGGATTACAGCCATGGTACACACACACACACACACACACACACACACACACACACACACACACAGGTCTTCCTTGGCTTCTAACATCTTCCTGGAAAGGCCCATCTGCTATGATAATGAAAAACCCCAGCTTGTCTAACAAGTGAAGGGACTCAACTTCTGGCTGTCACCATGGAAGCGGTGAACGTCGGCTTTCTAGCAAAAGTGAGGCCATTCAGAGGCCTTTCTGACAACAGCAAGTTTTGAAAAATAGACTTCCCAGATATCCTGCTGGTGACTTGGCAAACTGCTTCCATGTTCCCCAAAGCTCCAAAAAAGTAAAGCGATCCATAGTAAAGTCTCTCCTACTGAGAGCAAAACACACACACACACACACACACACACACACACACACGTAATCCTAATTCTTTTCAGGTATTTAAAAAAAGGAGAAAAATAAAAGATAGGGCTCCTTGGTGCACAATGGGCAAGTAAAAACTTTCTCCATAAAATTTACGGGATCTCTGCCCCTTAAAGAATTTAAAAAGATTACAGCACAGCGGGCCTGTGCAGCAGTGGGGGATACCAGAGCTATCTTCCACTACTCTATACATGCAGTTGTGGTCTCCTCTCATCATGACCCAGCACAAATATAAAGTGGACAGATTTAGTTCCGCCTGTTCAGGTCGAAGGCACCTTTTCCGGAGGACTTACTAACCCTGTCCCCTCAGCCATCAGCACGATTCCAAACAGTCATCTATGGAAAAGGCCCCATGCACAACCTCAGTTGTCACCACTGGTCTCTTAGGAAACCACAATCAAAACCACAGAAGAACAGTATTAATTTTTTTTTATGGTTTTCCCCTCAAGTCATGATGCACTTGCTGGGTTCTGATCCACTGGATGCTGTTCTGTTCCGAAATGCTAACACTCGATTGGATAGTAGTTCTCTAGAGATAAAATGTTAGCTGATAAAAAAAAATTAAAGAGACAACAAAAAAAAAATTCTGATCCTAGTAGAATGTGCTTCCCCCCCCCAAAAAAAAAAATGAAAGAACGAGAACGGACTTTAAGACTAAAAATATCTAAGAATTAACATGTATAGTGTCACATAAACTGCTTAATAAAGAGAAAACATAAGATGTGTTTAAAAAAAACAACATCAAAAAATGTACATTTGGGTTCAAAAGTTCCAAACATCAAATAGACTGAGAATTTAGCTACAGAGCATTAATACAAAGAAGATTGATCTTCCTCAAAATGCATAAAAGGTAACGAGGTCACTCATATTTAAAATATGCAACTTAAGGGAAGTAACAGGGATATGAAATCATGTATGTATCATATACAATCAATTCTTGATAATCTATGAGCACAGAGCTGTAAGAGCAGTGACAGGGATGGAGTTTAGTGAGGACCCGTTAGAAAAATGAACTTATTATTTTTTTTTTAAGACATGTATTTTAAAACAAAAACTGAAGAAACAGTCTGGAGAGTCAGACTGCAAAGGTGAGCATCAAAGGTGAGAATCGGTGTAGTGGATCTTGTCCTCTTTGCAGGGAAACTGAGACCACAGTGGCCTGAGCTGTACACCTCCTCCTCCCCCACCCTCGGCCCTAGGTAAAGCTGTGGGAACCTGACCCAAGGGGCAGGCAATCCACAGACTGGCCAGTGACCTATGATCTGGGTGGGATCGAAAACGTGAACTCGCCGATCTGACTCTCACCCATGGGAATTTGATTCAGAAAACTCCTAGGGCTAAACCAGTTAGGAAAGGGACAGAAACAGAGAGAGTGCCTGAGGGTAGAGAGGGAGGCCACGACAAGCCAAAACCATATGCGAGCCAAGGTTATGAGGAAGCAGAAACTATGAGTAAACAGGAAGCTGAGTGGCAGCAGACAGCAGGCTAGCAGAGCAGACACCAGGAGCCCTGAGCCCTTGGTGGTGAGAGAGATGCTGGAGGGAGCTGCTGTCCCTGGAGATGCTTAAGCTCCTCAGAGTAGCAGCCCCTCAGTCACCATATATGTGCTTAAACCACACCCCTGGTTAGATGAATTGAAAGAATTTCTTGTCTCTTTATAATACAGGATGCAAAATTAAAAGCAGAGCCGAACAAATCTCTCTATTTCAGTTCCCCACTTGCTCTGGCGCAGGATTTGGAGCAAGTTTAGTTGGCCTCTCTCAGCGGCTCAGGTTGTCTTCACAAGCTTGCTGTTCGTACAGTGTTACATCAAAAAGGTTCCGGGCTCAATAAATGGCAGCTGCTACTGTTGTCCTCCCGGTTTTATAGCAGTGGAGGGTGGTATAATAATATCTCATGCTTGCATAGTAAGCCTGGAAGATCATCGAAGAACAGAGGCGAGTGTACATTGGTTCTCCATGGCAAGTACCAGGTGCATTTAAGGGGCGGTCATTTAAGGAAAGGCATTTAAGGAAAGGCAAGGGAAACAGATTCACCTACCTGTTGAGGCCCTAAGCAATATCAAGAGTAGTCTTAAAAATTGAGGCCTGCGTAGGGTTCAAAGACTGAGCCCTGAAACTCTCTCAAGATCTGTAATGTTGCATTAAAAAAAAAAAAAAACTATCTCAAGTTCCTAGGTAAGGCTCTGTAACCCTGGCAGAAGTAATGCAAGGCCTTAAGTGGTAAGTGCTGGGCAGGTGGGCTAGACTGTAATGTGCTGTGGCAGTCCACAGCAGGGGAGATCGATACAGGATACAACATGGGTGTGGAATACTCGGCTACATAAATGTTTTGTTTGGGAGCACGTTCAGAAGGAAGCCCTGTGCAAAAGACCAGGAAATACAGACACAGACAAGGTCTGTGGGGTCGTCAGAGCTGAGCTCATTGCTGGGGAAGAGTCAAAAGCCCACGGGTTCCGACCCCGATACATACTAGTATCCATAGTGCTGAGCCTCTTTTAGGCGAGCAACATTTGAGAGGAGTGACTAAGAACCAAAACAAGCAACCAAATCAGTGCGGGCGAGGGATTTCTCAGTTTGAAAAGTGTCTACCAAGGAAGCTTACTTAGCATGCCCCACACCAGTGTGGCAGAGCACAATTATAACCCAAGGCTGAGGCAGAATCGAGCAGCTCCTCGGGCCTGCCGACCACCCAGGCTAGCCTATCTGGTGAGCTCCAGGCAAACGAAAGACCCTGTGTCAAAAGACGTGTTTTTAAGGATGACTCCCAAGGTCATTTTCTGGACCCCACATGCCAGCATCTGCACAAGCACGTGTATGAACACACCCACACATGCACACTTGTGTGAACAGAAAGACACAGACAGTGGGGTGGCGCCAACTTCTAAAAGGCTGTTCAACAAGATGAAAACAACATTCCCCTGTCAGTAAAGAATGGGTCTACAGTGGGCTCTGTCCGCGTGTCACACACTAAAACACTGGAAGGACCCTGTTTTATTTGGGTCAAATTGGAAACCTAAAGGAAAAATAAATTTTTTTCAACGTTGTTGCAAATCACAACCCTTAGTGTATAAAATATTGGTGTAAGTTGTTCACATAAAAAAAAATCCCATTTAAGAGTGTGTTTAAAAGCTCATAAACTTCTGACTGACTACTAGCAAAATAGAAGTAAAAATATGAGGTCAACAAATTCCTTATATTTCCATTTTTATACAAAATAGAGTTAGGAAGTACTCTCTCTCTGAAATAGAACCATATTTTCTAGAATGTACTAGTTTGCTTTAAAGTTGCACGTCTTTTTCCAGACTCATAGGCTCCCTGGAGATGTACAAACTCACACACATAGAAATGAAAGCACTACAATAATATAAAACTGCAGCTGTACGTCTAGAATACACACAGAACACCATAAACACAGCCATATGCTGATGACGCTTATGAGAAGCCATGCTTGGATTGCTCCGAAATCGCTCCTAGTGAGCAAAGCAAAGACAAGAGTTTGGCCCAAGTGCAGCCTGTCTGCATGGATGATTAACTAATAATAGCTGTCATTTACTGTGTCATTTCACACAAACATACTACAGACACAACACATGTCAGAATGCCTGTCTTTTTTTACCCAAAGTCACAG